TGAAACACCAATACATTCAGATCTACACTACATGGAGACAGTCAGATACAGCGTGGAGTCTCTCAGTCTACTGTCTGAAACACCAATACATTCAGATCTACACTACACAGAGACAGTCAGATACAGCGTGGAGTCACTCAGTCTACTGTCTGAAACACCAATACATTCAGATCTACACTACACGGAGACAGTCAGATACAGCATGGAGTCTCTCAGTCTACTGTCTGAAACACCAATACATTCAGATCTACACTACATGGAGACAGTCAGATACAGCGTGGAGTCTCTCAGTCTACTGTCTGAAACACCAATACATTCAGATCAGTCAGACACAGTGTGGAGTCTCTCATTCTACTGTCTAAAACACCAATACATTCAGATCTACACTACACGGAGACAGTCAGATACAGTGTGGAGTCTCTCAGTCTACTGTTCGAAACACCAATACATTCAGATCTACACTACATGGAGACAGTCAGATACAGCGTTGAGTCTCTCAGTCTACTGTCTGAAACACCAATACATTCAGATCTACACTACATGGAGGCAGTCAGATACAGCGTGGAGTCTCTCAGTCTATTGTCTGAAATACCAATACATTCAGATCTACACTACATGGAGGCAGTCAGATACAGTGTGGAGTCTCTCAGTCTACTGTCTGAAACACCAATACATTCAGATCAGTCAGATACAGTGTGGAGTCTCTCATTCTACTGTCTGAAACACCAATACATTCAGATCTACACTACATAGAGGCAGTCAGATACAGTGTGGAGTCTCTCAGTCTACTGTCTGAAACACCAATACATTCAGATCAGTCAGATACAGTGTGGAGTCTCTCAGTCTACTGTCTGAAACACCAACACATTCAGATCTACACTACATAGAGGCAGTCAGATACAGTGTGGAGTCTCTCAGTCTACTGTCTGAAACACCAATACATTCAGATCAGTCAGATACAGTGTGGAGTCTCTCAGTCTACTGTCTGAAACACCAATACATTCAGATCTACACTACATGGAGACAGTCAGATACAGCGTGGAGTCTCTCATTCTACTGTCTGAAACACCAATACATTCAGATCTACACTACACAGAGACAGTCAGATACAGCGTGGAGTCTCTCAGTCTACTGTCTGAAACACCAATACATTCAGATCTACACTACATGGAGACAGTCAGATACAGTGTGGAGTCTCTCATTCTACTGTCTGAAACACCAATACATTCAGATCTACACTACATGGAGACAGTCAGATACAGCGTGGAGTCTCTCATTCTACTGTCTGAAACACCAATACATTCAGATCTACACTACATAGAGGCAGTCAGATACAGCGTGGAGTCTCTCATTCTACTGTCTGAAACACCAATACATTCAGATCTACACTACATAGAGACAGTCAGATACTGCGTGGAGTCTCTCAGTCTACTGTCTGAAACACCAATACATTCAGATCTACACTACACAGAGACAGTCAGATACAGCGTGGAGTCACTCAGTCTACTGTCTGAAACACCAATACATTCAGATCTACACTACATGGAGACAGTCAGACACAGCGTGGAGTCTCTCAGTCTACTGTCTGAAACACCAATACATTCAGATCTACACTACATAGAGACAGTCAGATACTGCGTGGAGTCTCTCAGTCTACTGTCTGAAACACCAATACATTCAGATCTACACTACACGGAGACAGTCAGATACAGCATGGAGTCTCTCAGTCTACTGTCTGAAACACCAATACATTCAGATCTACACTACATGGAGACAGTCAGACACAGCGTGGAGTCTCTCAGTCTACTGTCTGAAACACCAATACATTCAGATCAGTCAGACACAGTGTGGAGTCTCTCATTCTACTGTCTGAAACACCAATACATTCAGATCTACACTACACGGAGACAGTCAGATACAGTGTGGAGTCTCTCATTCTACTGTCCAAAACACCAATACATTCAGATCTACACTACACGGAGACAGTCAGATACAGTGTGGAGTCTCTCATTCTACTGTCCAAAACACCAATACATTCAGATCTACACTACACGGAGACAGTCAGATACAGCGTGGAGTCTCTCATTCTACTGTCTGAAACACCAATACATTCAGATCTACACTACATGGAGACAGTCAGATACACTGTGGAGTCTCTCATTCTACTGTCTGAAACACCAATACATTCAGATCTACACTACATGGAGACAGTCAGATACACTGTGGAGTCTCTCAGTCTACTGTCTGAAACACCAATACATTCAGATCTACACTACATGGAGACAGTCAGATACAGTGTGGAGTCTCTCAGTCTACTGTTCTGAAACACCAATACATTCAGATCTACACTACATGGAGACAGTCAGATACAGTGTGGAATCCCTCAGTCTACTGTCTGAAACACCAATGCATTCAGATCTACACTACATGGAGGCAGTCAGACAAAGCGAGGAGTCTCTCAGTCTACTGTCTGAAACACCAATGCATTCAGATCTACACTACACAGAGACAGTCAGATACACTGTGGAGTCTCTCAGTCTACTGTCTGAAACACCAATACATTCAGATTACACTACACGGAGACAGTCAGATACAGCTGTGGAGTCTCTCAGTCTACTGTCTGAAACACCAATACATTCAGATCAGTCAGATACACTGTGGAGTCTCTCATTCTACTGTCTGAAACACCAATGCATTCAGATCAGTCAGATACACTGTGGAGTCTCTCATTCTACTGTGTGAAACATCAATACATTCAGATCTACACTACATAGAGGCAGTCAGATACAGCATGGAGTCTCTCAGTCTACTGTCTGAAACATCAATACATTCAGATCTACACTACATAGAGGCAGTCAGATACAGCGTGGAGTCTCTCATTCTACTGTCTGAAACACCAATACATTCAGATCTACACTACACGGAGACAGTCAGATACAGTGTGGAGTCTCTCAGTCTACTGTCTGAAACACCAATACATTCAGATCTACACTACATGGAGGCAGTCAGATACAGCATGGAGTCTCTCAGTCTACTGTCTGAAACACCAATACATTCAGATCAGTCAGACACAGTGTGGAGTCTCTCATTCTACTGTCTGAAACACCAATACATTCAGATCTACACTACATGGAGACAGTCAGATACACTGTGGAGTCTCTCAGTCAACTGTCTAAAACACCAATACATTCAGATCTACACTACATGGAGGCAGTCAGATACAGCGTGGAGTCACTCAGTCTACTGTCTGAAACACCAATACATTCAGATCTACACTACACGGAGACAGTCAGATACAGCGTGGAGTCTCTCAGTCTACTGTCTGAAACACCAATACATTCAGATCAGTCAGACACAGTGTGGAGTCTCTCATTCTACTGTCTAAAACACCAATACATTCAGATCTACACTACACGGAGACAGTCAGATACAGCGTGGAGTCTCTCATTCTACTGTCTGAAACACCAATACATTCAGATCTACACTACATGGAGACAGTCAGATACACTGTGGAGTCTCTCATTCTACTGTCTGAAACACCAATACATTCAGATCTACACTACATGGAGACAGTCAGATACAGTGTGGAGTCTCTCAGTCTACTGTCTGAAACACCAATACATTCAGATCTACACTACATGGAGACAGTCAGATACACTGTGGAGTCTCTCATTCTACTGTCTGAAACACCAATACATTCAGATCTACACTACACGGAGACAGTCAGATACAGTGTGGAGTCTCTCAGTCTACTGTCTGAAACACCAATGCATTCAGATCTACACTACATGGAGGCAGTCAGACAAAGCGAGGAGTCTCTCAGTCTATTGTCTGAAACACCAATACATTCAGATCTACACTACACAGAGACAGTCAGATACACTGTGGAGTCTCTCATTCTACTGTCTGAAACACCAATACATTCAGATCTACACTACATGGAGACAGTCAGATACAGCGTGGAGTCTCTCAGTCTACTGTCTGAAACACCAATACATTCAGATTACACTACACGGAGACAGTCAGATACACTGTGGAGTCTCTCAGTCTACTGTCTGAAACACCAATACATTCAGATCTACACTACATGGAGACAGTCAGATACAGTGTTGAATCCCTCAGTCTACTGTCTGAAACACCAATACATTCAGATCTACACTACACGGAGACAGTCAGATACAGTGTGGAGTCTCTCAGTCTACTGTCTGAAACACCAATACATTCAGATCTACACTACATGGAGACAGTCAGATACACTGTGGAGTCTCTCAGTCTACTGTCTGAAACACCAATACATTCAGATCTACACTACATGGAGACAGTCAGATACAGCATGGAGTCTCTCAGTCTACTGTCTGAAACACCAATACATTCAGATCAGTCAGACACAGCGTGGAGTCTCTCAGTCTACTGTCTAAAACACCAATACATTCAGATCTACACTACATGGAGACAGTCAGATACAGCGTGTAGTCTCTCATTCTACTGTCTGAAACACCAATACATTCAGATCTACACTACATGGAGACAGTCAGATACAGCGTGGAGTCTCTCAGTCTACTGTCTGAAACACCAATACATTCAGATCTACACTACATGGAGACAGTCAGATACAGCATGGAGTCTCTCAGTCTACTGTCTGAAACACCAATACATTCAGATCTACACTACATGGAGACAGTCAGATACAGCGTGTAGTCTCTCATTCTACTGTCTGAAACACCAATACATTCAGATCTACACTACATGGAGACAGTCAGATACAGCGTGGAGTCTCTCAGTCTACTGTCTGAAACACCAATACATTCAGATCTACACTACATGGAGACAGTCAGATACAGCATGGAGTCTCTCAGTCTACTGTCTGAAACACCAATACATTCAGATCTACACTACATGGGAGTCTCTCAGTCTACTGTCTGAAACACCAATACATTCAGATCTACACTATATCTGTGGAGTCACTGATCTGAATGTACTGCAATGAAGGGATTGCATACCGAGTTTACTTCTAATGATACTGTAGATCTCCAGCACCAGATCCTGTAACCATGGTGATTTGTACTCATCTTCTTCCTGTAACATCAACAGTTAATATTATTTCTAACAGTAGATTCACAATATACCTGCTTACAGACACAAGTGTTCTGGTGTGATGAGCTGGATTCATTCCAGCAGTGATATACTGAACCCACTGAACACAATACAAGAGTGATATACAGAACCCACTGAAATCAATACAAGAGTGATGTATGGAACCCACTTAACCCAATACAAGAGTGATATATGGAACCCACTGAACCCAATACAAGAGTGATATACTGAACCCACTGAAATCAATACAAGAGTGATGTATGGAACCCACTTAACCCAATACAAGAGTGATATATGGAACCCACTGAACCCAATACAAGAGTGATATACTGAACCCAATACAAGAGTGATATACTGAACCAACTGAACACAATACAAGAGTGATATACTGAACCCACTGAAATCAATACAAGAGTGATGTATGGAACCCAATACAATACAAGAGTGATATATGGAACCCACTGAACCCAATACAAGAGTGATATACTGAACCCAATACAAGAGTTATATACCGAACCCACTGAAATCAATACAAGAGTGATATACTGAACCCACTGAAATCAATACAAGAGTGATGTATGGAACCCACTTAACCCAATACAACAGTGATATATGGAACCCACTGAACCCAATACAAGAGTGATATACTGAACCCAATACAACAGTGATATACTGAACCCAATACAACAGTGATATACTGAACCCATTCAAATACATTCCTACCTTCTCTACTGTGGACAACACAAACGTCAGAATTTCACCAATCTTAAACTTGGTGGCATCCTGAAAAAGAAAATCATATCTGTGTTCAAAAAAGTTGAACAAATTTATAGTGGGTGGAATTGTGTGGTGGAGCAGTGTGTATCTAAGTGGAGCAGTGTGTATCTGTGTGGAGCAGTGTGTATCTGTGTGTATCTGTGCAGCAGTGAGTATCTGTGTGGAGCAGTGTGGTGGAGCAGTGGTGGAGCAGTGTGTGGAGCAGTGTGTATGTGTGTGGAGCAGTGTGTATCTGTGTGGAGCAGTGTGTATCTGTGTGGAGCAGTGTGGTGTGAGTAGTGTGTGGAGCAGTGTGTATCTGTGTGGAGCAGTGTGGTGGAGCAGTGAGTATCTGTGTGTATCTGTGTGGTGGAGCAGTGTGATGGAGCAGTGAGTATCTGTGTGGAGCAGTGTGTATCTGTGGAGAGTGGAGCAGTGTGTATATCTGTGTTGGAGCAGTGTGGTGGAGCAGTGTGTATCTGTGTGTATCTGTGTGGAGCAGTGTGGAGCAGTGTGGTGGAGCAGTGTGGAGCAGTGTGGTGGAGAAGTGTGGTGGAGAAGTGTGGTGGAGAAGTGTGTATCTGTGTGGAGCAGTGTGTATCTGTGGAGAGTGAGTATCTGTGTGTATCTGTGTGGTGGAGCAGTGTGGTGGAGCAGTGTGTATCTGTGTGTATCTGTGTGGTGGAGCAGTGTGGTGGAGCAGTGTGGAGAGCAGTGGTGGAGCAGTGTGAGCAGGAGCAGTGTGGTGGAGCAGTGTGGTGGATCTGTGTGTATCTGTGTGGTGGAGCAGTGTGGTGGAGTGTATCTGTGTGGAGCAGTGTGTATCTGTGGTGGTGAGTATCTGTGTGTATCTGTGTGGAGCAGTGAGCAGTGTGTGGAGCAGGAGCATTTGTGTGGAGCTGTGTGTATCTGTGGAGAGGTGGATCAGTGTGTATCTGTGTGGTGGAGCAGTGTGGTGGAGCAGTGTGTATCTGTGTGGAGCAGTGTGGTGGAGCAGTGTGTATCTGTGTGTACCTGTGTGGTGGAGCAGTGTGGTGGAGCAGTGTGTATCTGTGTGGAGCAGTGTGGTGGAGCAGTGTGTATCTGTGTGGAGCAGTGAGTATTTGTGTGGAGCAGTGAGTATTTGTGTGGAGCAGTGTGTATCTGTGGAGAGTGAGTATCTGTGTGTACCTGTGTGGTGGAGCAGTGTGGTGGAGCAGTGTGTATCTGTGTGGAGCAGTGTGGTGGAGCAGTGTGTATCTGTGTGTACCTGTGTGGTGGAGCAGTGTGGTGGAGCAGTGAGTATCTGTGTGTACCTGTGTGGTGGAGCAGTGTGTATCTGTGTGGAGCAGTGTGGTGGAGAAGTGTGTATGTGTGTGGAGCAGTGTGTATCTGTGTGGAGCAGTGTGTATCTGTGTGGAGCAGTGTGGTGGAGAAGTGTGGTGGAGAAGTGTGTATCTGTGTGGAGCAGTGTGGTGGAGAAGTGTGATGGGGAAGTGTGTATCTGTGGGGAGCAGTGTGTATCTATGTGGAGCAGTGTGGTGGAGCAGTGTGGTGGAGCAGTGTGTATCTGTGTGGAGCAGTGTGTATCTATGTGGAGCAGTGTGGTAGACAGTGTGTATCTGTGTGGAGCAGTGTGGTAGAGCAGTGTGTATCTGTGTGGAGCAGTGTGGTGGAGCAGTGTGGTGGAGCAGTGTGTATCTGTGTGGAGCAGTGTGGTGGAGCAGTGTGTATCTATGTGGAGCAGTGTGTATCTGTGTGGAGCAGTGTGGTGGAGCAGTGTGGTGGAGCAGTGTGTATCTGTGTGGAGCAGTGTGTATCTATGTGGAGCAGTGTGGTAGACAGTGTGTATCTGTGTGGAGCAGTGTGGTGGAGCAGTATGTTTGTGTGTGCAGCAGTATCTGTGTGTATCTGTGTGGTTGAGCAGTGTGAAACTGTGTGGAGCAGTGTGTATCTGTAGGGGCCTGTGTGTATCTGTAGGGGCCTCTGTAGGGGCCTGTGTGGATCTGTAGGGGCCTGTGTGGATCTGTAGGGACCTGTGTGGATCTGTAGGGTCCTGTGTGGATCTGTAGGGACTTGTGTGGATCTGTAGGGGTCTGTGTGGATCTGTGGGGAAATGTGTGGATCTGTAGGGGTCTGTGTGGGTCTGTAAGGGCCTGTGTGGATCTGTAAGAAAATGGGTGGATCTGTAGGAGCATGTGTGGATCTATAGCAGCCTGTGTGGATCTGCAAAGGTCTGTATGGATCTGCAAGGGCCTGTGTGGATATGCAGGGGTCTGTGTGGATCTGTAGGGGTCTGTGTGGATCTGTAGGGGTCTGTGTGGATCTGTAAGGGGTCTGTGTGGATCTGTAGGGACCTGTGTGGATCTGTAGGGGCCTGTGTGGATCTGTAGGGACTTGTGTGGATCTGCAGGGGTCTGTGTGGATCTTCAGGGGCCTGTGTGGATCTGTAGGGAAATGTGTGGATCTGTAGGGGTCCTGTGTGGGTCTGTAAGGGCCTGTGTGGATCTGTAAGAAAATGGGTGGATCTGTAGGAGCATGTGTGGATCTATAGCAGCCTGTGTGGATCTATAGCAGCCTGTGTGGATCTGCAAAGGTCTGTATGGATCTGCAAGGGCCTGTGTGGATATGCAAGGGTCTGTGTGGATCTGTAGGGGTCTGTGTGGATCTGTAAGGGCCTGTGTGGATCTGTAGGGGCCTGTGTTGAGGGGCCTCTGTCGATCTGCAGGGGCCTGTGTGGATCTGTAAGGAAATGTATGGATCTGTAGGGCTCTGTGTGGATCTGTAGGGGCATGTGTGGATCTGCAGGGGTCTGTATGGATCTGCAGGGGCCTGTGTGGATCTGCAAGGATCTGCAGAAGCCTGTGTGGATATGTAGGGGCCTGTGTGGATATGTAGGGGATTTTGTGGATCTGTAGGGGTCTGTGTGGATCTGCAGGGGCCTGTGTGGATTTGTAGGGGCCTGTGTGGATCTGTAGGGGCCATGTGTGGATACATGTGTGGATCTGTAGGGACCTGTGTGGAACTTTGTGTACCTTTAATGTCTTGAATCTGGAGACCAGATACTGTAGCAGCTTCTGTGCAATCCCTGGGTATCCAGCCCATACACCGGCCCTCTCCCACCTCAGCAGCTCCACCATAAGATCACAGGCCTTGTCATGACCTGCAGAACACAGTGACATGGTACATGGGGGACACATGACCTGCTGAACACAGTCACATGGTACATGGGGGACACATGACCTGCTGAACACAGTCACATGGTACATGGGGGACACAGGAACTACTGAACACAGTCACATGGTACATGGGGGACACATGAACTACTGAACACAGTCACATGGTACATGGGGGACACAGGAACTACTGAACACAGTCACATGGTACATGGGGGACACATGAACTACTGAACACAGTCACATGGTACATGGGGGACACATGAACTACTGAACACAGTCACATGGTACATGGGGGACACATGAACTACTGAACACAGTCACATGGTACATGGGGGACACATGACTTGCTGAACACAGAGCACATTGTGGGTGAGTCTGATGATACACATATGGATCTATTTTATTCTGGTGCATCGTAAAAATTCAATGACGAGGTATTTTAGATACTTGCTATTAACAATATTTACAAGTTACAAGCTTTAAAAGTTTTGCAGCCTAAATATGTCCAGTGAAAGGAAGGAATATCATTTATAGGCAGTGGGAAGCAAAATAATCACAAATACAAATATCTGTGAATAATGTGTCGCACCTGTTCGCTGTGAGACAATGACTTCTACCAGGGCTGACACCGACCCGCCTTGTATGAGGTACTGTCTGCTGACTGGAGACAGTAGCATGCCCTGCAGACAGTCGTAGCAGTCAGACAGCAGGCTGACCTCCAGGTCATCTTCATCACCACTGCAGCACCAAATCACGACATGACAGTGAGTGAGTGAGTGAGTGAGTGAGTGAGTGAGTGAGTGAGTGAGTGAGTGAGTGAGTGAGTGAGTGAGTGAGTGAGTGAGTGAGTGAGTGAGTGAGTGAGTGAGTGAGTGAGTGAGCAGGGTTTAACATAGCTGTGAATAGTGGACCTGTTATATGTTCAGAGATGTTTACCGGTATGGAAAAACACAGGAGCATGGCTATGTGGCCGACAAATCAAGAAAACAACCCTTCTTCGGTACTAACACCAACCCTTCTTCAGTACTAACACCAACCCTTCTTCAGTACTAACAACCCTTCTTCAGAACTCTCACTTACCCCAACCCTTCTTCGGTACTAACACCAACCCTTCTTCAGTACTCTCAGTAACCCAAATCCGTCTTCAGTATTCTCACTTAACCCCAATCCTTCTTCGATACTCTCACTAACCCCAATCCTTCTTCGGTATTCTCACTAACCCCAATCCTTCTTCAGTATTCTCACTTAACTCCAATCCTTCTTCAGTACTCTCACTTACCCAAACCCTTCTTCAGTATTCTCAATAACCCCAATCCTTCTTCAGTATTCTCACTTAACCCCAATCCTTCTTCAGTACCCTCACTTACCCAAAGCCTTCTTCAGTATTCTCACTAACCCCAACCCTTCTTCAGTATTCTCATTAAACCCAACCCTTCTTCAGAGCTCTCACTAACCCCAAACCCTTCTTCAGTATTCTCACTAACCCCAATCCTTCTTCAGTATTCTCATTTAACCCCAATCCTTCTTCAGTATTCTCACTAACCCCAATCCTTCTTCAGTATTCTCACTTAACCCCAATCCTTCTTCAGTAATCTCCTCTTCAGTACTTCCACTCCTTTCTTCAGTATTCTCACTTAACCCCAATCCTTCTTCAGTACTCTCACTAACCCCAAACCCTTCTTCAGTATTCTCACTTAACCCCAACCCTTCTTCAGTGCTCTCACTTAACCCCAATCCTTCTTCAGTATTCTCACTAACCCAAACCCTTCTTCAGTATTCTCACTTACCCCACCATTCTTCCTTCTTCAGTATTCTTCAGTTCTCTCAACCCCAATCCTTCTTCAGTACTCTCAACTTTCTCCCTAATCCTTCTTCAGTATTCTCACCCCAATCCTTCTTCAGTGTTCTCACTTAACCCCAATCCTTCTTCAGTAACCCTAGTCCTTCTTCAATTCCTTCCTTACCCCAATTTCTTCAGTATTCTCACTTAACCCCCAATGCTTCTTCAGTACTCTCACTTACCCCAATCCTTCTTCAGTATTCTCACTTAACCCCAGTCCTTCTTCAATATGCTCACTAACCCAAATCCTTCTTCAATACTCTCATTAACCCCAACCCTTCTTCCGTACTCTCACTTAACCAAAATCCTTCTTCAGTATTCTCACTAACCCACATCCTTCTTCAGTACTCTCACTAACCCCAACCCTTCTTCAGTACTCTCACTAACCCCAACCCTTCTTCAGTACTCTCCCTAACCCCAACCCTTCTTCAGTGCTTTCACTAACACCAATCCTTCTTCAGTAATCTCAATTAACCCAATCCTTCTTCAGTATTCTCACTTACCCCAATCCTTCTTCAGTATTCTCACTTACCCCAATCCTTCTTCAATACTCTCATTCTTCAGTCCTTCTTAATCTCTCAACCCCAATCCTTCTTCAGTATTCTCACTGAACCCCAATCCTTCTTCAGCCTCCTCACTAACTCAATCCTTCTTCAGTACTCTCACCTTACCCCAATCCTTCTTCAGTACTCTCTCCCTACACTTAACCCCAATCCTTCTTCAGTATTCTCAATAACCTTCAGTCCTTTTCTCAGTATTCACTTAACCCCAAATTCTTCTTCAGTTAATTCTCACTTACCCAAAGTCTCTTCTTCAGTATTCTTCTCACTAACCCCAACCCTTCTTCAGTATTCTCACTAAACCCAACCCTTCTTCAGAGCTCTCACTAACCCAAACCCTACTTGAGTATTCTCACTTAACCCCAATCCTTCTTCACTACTCTCACTTACCCAAACCCTTCTTCAGTATTCTCACTGGCCCCAATCCTTCTTCAGTGCTCCTTCTTCAGTATTCTCACTTCAAACCCAATCCTTCTTCTTCAGTATCCTTCTCACTTACCCCAACCCTTCTTCAGTATTCTCACTAACCCCAATCCTTCTTCAGCAATCTCACTTACCCCAATCCTTCTTCAGTATTCTCACTTAACACCAATCCTTCTTCAGTACTTTCACTTACCCCAATCCTTCTTCAATATTCTCACTTAACCCAAATCCTTCTTCAGTACTCTCACTTACCCAAACCCTTCTTCAGTATTCTCACTAACCCCAATCCTTCTTCAGTACTCTCACTTACTCCAATCCTTCTTCAGTATTCTCACTTACTCCAATCCTTCTTCAGTACTCTCACTTACCCCAATCCTTCTTCAGTACGCTCACTTACTAATCCTTCTTCAGTATTCTCACTTAACCCCAATCCTTCTTCAGTGTCTCTCATTAACCCAATCCTTCTTCAGTGATCCTCTCACTTGCCCCCCAATCCTTCTTCAGTATTCACTAACCCCAATCCTTCAGTCCTCACTCTCCAATCCTCAATCCTTCTTCAGTATTCTCTTCTCACCCCAATCCTTCTTCAGTATTCTCACTCTAAAAGCCCTTCTTCCTCTCACTTAACCCAATCCTTTCAGCATTCTCACTAACCCCAATCCTTCTTCAGTATTCTCACTTAACCCCAATCCTTCTTCGGTCACTCAATCACTTTCAGTACTCCCACCCCAATCCTTCTTCAGTATTCTCACTAACCCCAATCCTTCTTCAGTATTCTCACTTAACCCCAATCCTTCTTCAGTATTCTCACTTCATTAACCCCCAATGGCTTCTTCAGTATTCTCACTTACCCCAATCCTTCTTCAGTATTCTCATTAACCCCAATCCTTCTTCAGTGCTCTCTCACTAACCCCAATCCTTCTTCAGTGTTCTCACTTAACCCCAATTCAGTGCTTCTTCAGTTCTTCCATTATTCTCTCACTTAACCCCAATCCTTCTTCTTCTTCTCCTTGGCCCCAATCACTTCTTCACTTATGTCACTCACCCTAATCCTTCTTCAGTATTCTCACTTAACCCCAAACCCTTCTTCAGTAATCTCACCCACCCTAATCCTTCTTCAGTATTCTCCCCTTCAACCCCAATCCTTCTTCAGTACTCTCACTAACTAACCCCGGTAACCCTTCTTCAGTATTCTCTCACTCACCCCATGTTCCTTCTTCTTCTTCTTCAGTTCCTTCTTCTAACCCCAATCCTTCTTCAGTATTCTCACCCAACCCCAATCTTCTTCAGTATTCTCACTTACCCCAATCCTTCTTCAGTATTCTCACTTAACCCCAATCCTTCTTCAGTACTCTCACTTACCCAAACCCTTCTTCAGTATTCTCACTTAACCCCAATCCTTCTTCAGTACTCTCACTAACCCCAATCCTTCTTCAGTATTCTCACTTAACCCCAATCCTTCTTCAGTACTCTCACTTACCCCAATCCTTCTTCAGTATTCTCACTTAACCCCAGTCCTTCTTCAGTACTGCTCACTAACCCCAATCCTTCTTCAGTACTCTCACTAACCCCAATCCCTTTCTTCCTTTACTCTCACTACTAACCCCAATCCTTCTTCAGTATTCTCACTAACCCCAACCCTTCTTCAGTGTATCTCTCACTAACCCCAACTGCCCCCTTCTTTCAGTATTCTCACCTACCCCAATCCTTCTTCAGTATTCTCACCTAACCCCAATCCTTCTTCAGTATTCTCACTAACCCCAATCCTTCTTCAGTATTCTCACTTACCCCAATCCTTCTTCAGTACTCTCACTTACCCCAATCCTTCTTCAGTATTCTCACTTAACCCCAATCCTTCTTCAGTATTCTCACCTACCCCAATCCTTCTTCAGTACTCTCACTAACCCCAATCCTTCTTCAGTACTCTCACTTAAACCCCAATCCTTCTTCAGTACTCTCACTAACCCCAATCCTTCTTCAGTATTCTCTCACCAATCCTTCTTCAGTATCTCTCACTTAACCCCAATCCTTCTTCAGTACTCTCACTTAACCCCAACCCTTCTTCAGGTACTCTCATCCTTCTTCTCCCCAATCCTTCTTCAGTACTCTCACTAACCCCAATCCTTCTTCAGTATTCTCACTAACTTCCCAAAACCCCAAGTCCTTCTTCAGTGTTCTCCTCACTTACCCATCCTTCTTCCAGTCTCTCACTAACCCCAACCCTTCTTCAGTATTCTCACTAACCCCAATCCTTTTTCAGTACTCTCACTAACCCCAATCCTTCTTCAGTATTCTCACTAACCCAAACCTTTCTTCAGTGCTGTCACTAATCCCAACCCTTCTTCAGTATTCTCACCTACCCCAACCCTTCTTCAGTACTCTCACTAACCCCAATCTTTCTTCAGTACTCTCACTTAACACCAATCCTTCTTCGGTACTCTCACTAACCCCAACCCTTCTTCAGTATTCTCACTTACCTCAAGCCTTCTTCAGTACTAGCACTTAACCCGAACCCTTCTTTAGTACTCTCACTTACCCCAATCCTTCTTCAGTACTCTCACTAACCCCAATCCTTCTTCAGTGCTCTCACTAACCCCAAACCTTTTCAGTACTCTCACTAACCCCAACCCTTCTTCAGTATTCTCACTAACCCCAATCCTTTTTCAGTACTCTCACTAACCCCAATCCTTCTTCAGTATTCTCACTAACCCCAACCCTTCTTCAGTGCTCTCACTAACCCCAACCCTTCTTCAGTACTCTCACTAACCCCAACCCTTCTTCAGTGCTCTCACTAACCCGTATTTAGCACAGTGGTTTACCTGATGTTGCATAGGATGATCTCATTCAATACTGACACTTGTTGTTTCATCTCTTTGCTGGACAGCTGAAATCCACAAGCAGTTATTGTTACACAGTGGTCATCACTTAATTTGATGCGTTGATATGTTGTTTTGAACTGCAGCATCAATATTTGACTCAGATAATCAAATATGTGCCAGATTAATGCGCAATATGTGCATGAGCAGCCTGTACTGATCCTCAACCAGCCAGGTACCACATCTCCAGGGCATAATGACACACCCTTAACCTTCTACTGACCACACCCTTAACCTTTTGCTGACCACACCCTTAACCTTTTGCTGACCACACCCTTAACCTTTTGCTGACCACACCCTTAACCTTCTACTGACCACACCTTCAACCTTCTACCGACCACACCCTTAACCTTTTGCTGACCACTACCATAACCTTTTGCTGACCACATCCTTAACCTTTTGCTGACCACACCCTTAACCTTCTACTGTCCACACCATCAACCTTCTACTGACCACACCCTCAACCTTCTACTGTCCACACCATCAACCTACTCTACTGACCACACCCTCAACCTTTCTGACTGTCCTTAACCATCAACCTACACCCGACAACCTTCTAACCTTAACCACACTCTTAACCACACCCTTAACCTTTCTACCACACACCACACTTCCTGACCACACCAACCTTCTACCGACCACACCCTTAACCTTTTGCTGACCACACCCTTAACCTTTTGCTGACCATACCCTTAACCTTCTACTGACCACACCATCAACCTTCTACCGACCACACCATCAACCTTTTGCTGACCACACCCTTAACCTTTTGCTGACCACACCATCAACTTTCTACTGACCACACCCTTAACCTTCTACTGACCACACCCTTAACCTTCTACTGACCACACCCTTATCCTTCTACTGACCACACCCTCAACCTTCTACCGACCACACCCTTAACCTTTTGCCGACCACACCCTTAACCTTTTGCTGACCACACCATCAACCTTCTACTGACCACACCATCAACCTTCTACTGACCACGCCCTCAACCTTCTACAGACCATGCCCTCAACCTTCTACTGACCACGCCCTTAACCTTTTGCTGACTACACCCTCATTCTTCTACTGACCACACCATCAACCTTCTAGTTCTACCGACCACACCCTTAACCTTTTGCTGACCACACCCTTAACCTTTTGCTGACTACACCCTTAACCTTCTACTGACCACACCCTTAACCTTCTACTGACCACGTCCTCAACCTTCTACTGACCACGTCCTCAACCTTCTACTGACCACACCCTTAACCTTTTGCTGACCACACCCTTAACCATTTGCTGACCACACCATCAACCTTCTACTGACCACGCCCTCAACCTTCAACCTACTACTGACCACGCCCTCAACCTTCTACTGACCACACCCTTAACCTTTTGCTGACCATGCCCTCAACCTTCTACTGACCATGCCCTAAACCTTCTACTGACCACGCCATCAACCTTCTACTGACCACACCATCAACCTTCTACTGACCACACCATCAACCTTCTTGTGAGTCTACTGACCACTTGTGTGTCCTGAGCAAAGCTGGCCAGGATGCTGAGAGCGATGGACTTGTATATGGTTGGAGGACATCCTTCAGGAACATTGGCTGAAACACAAAACCTTAGTAGTTACAGCACATGGGTGTAATCAGAACCTGCCCCGTGACAGCAGGACATTACAGACTTTCAGATGTTTACTGCAGACAGCTCTGCACTGCATTTACTTCTCTCCGCCAAGTAGCCCTTACGTGTAGGATAAAGTACGAGGCCAAGGTCATGATTGGAATCGTAAGAACACCAGCGTGAGGGAAGTGTAAAAGTAAGACCAACCACAAAGGACCTCAGCACGAGGGAAGTGTAAAAGTAAGACCGACCGCGAAGGACCTCAGCGCGAGGGAAGTGTCAAAGTAAGACCGACCGCAAAGGACCTCAGCGCGAGGGAAGTGTAAAAGTAAGACCAACTTCAAAGGACCTCAGCGCGAGGGAAGTGTCAAAGTAAGACCAACTTCAAAGGACCTCAGCGTGAGGGAAGTGTCAAAGTAAGACCAACTTCAAAGGACCTCAGCGTGAGGGAAGTGTCAAAGTAAGACCAACTTCAAAGGACCTCAGCGTGAGGGAAGTGTCAAAGTAAGACCAACTTCAAAGGACCTCAGCGTGAGGGAAGTGTCAAAGTAAGACCAACTTCAAAGGACCTCAGCGTGAGGGAAGTGTAAAAGTAAGACCAACTTCAAAGGACCTCAGCGTGAGGGAAGTGTCAAAGTAAGACCAACTTCAAAGGACCTCAGCGCGAGGGAAGTGTAAAAGTAAGACCGACCGCGAAAGACCCCAGCACGAGGGATGTGTAAAAGTAAGACCGACTGTGAAAGACCTCAGCACGAGGGAAGTGCTGAGGTCCTTACTTTTCCAATCATGACGAGGCCTCATACTTTATCCAACATATAAACCGTCAAGTCAATTAAATACATATTCATAACAATAAAAAGCACTTTAATTAATCAAAGTATAGACATACGTAACGCTGCATTGTTTATACCGTGCTGGATGGTATATCGAGGAGCATGGTCTAATTATAAAACAGTGAGCGCACGACTGCACGTGCTGCTCGTGAATTTTGTTTCGCAGTATCTCGTGACGTGGCATGTTAGAACATTCATTTGAGGGAAACACCTGTAGATGGAAGGTTCGGACAGCGATAAGGAGTTATTCATTATACAGTCTTATTTGCGAGCAAACAGGTAACTTTCTCATCTCTGTTCTGCACATTAAGTTGTTATGACATCTTGAACATAACAAGTATTCAAACTTTAAAAATGGTGCATTAAGTCCAGTTTGTTAGTACACTTTGAAAAAATAGCACTAGATACTGAACTGTAGGTGGCAGGTATGGAGGTTGGCAGGATGTGGAGGTTGGCAGGATGTGGGGGTTGGCAGAATGTGGAGGTTGGCAGGATGTGGAGGTTGGCAGGATGTGGACTGACTGACTGAGTTTAGTTTTACGCCGCTTTTAGCAATATTCCAGCAATATCACAGCGGGGGACACCAGAAATGGGCTTGACACATTGTGCCCATGTGGGGAATCGAACCCGGGTCTTCGGCGTGACGATCCAACGCTTTAACCACTAGGCTACCCCACCGCCCCGGCAGGATGTGGAGGTTGGCAGATTTTGGAGGTTGGCAGATTTTGGAGGTTGGCAGAATGTGGAGGTTGGCAGGATGTGGAGGCAGAATGTGGAGGTTGGCCCGATATGGAGGTTGGCAGGATGTGGAGGTTGGAAGGATGTGGACATTGGCAGGACGTAGAGGTTGGCAGAATGTGGAGGTAGAATGTGGAAGTTGGCAGAATGTGGAGACAGAATGTGGACATTGGCAGGATGTGGAGGTTGGCAGGATGTGGAGACAGAATGTGGAGGTTGGCAGAATGTGGAGGTTGGCAGATTGTGGAGGTTGGCAGGTATTGAGGTTGGCAGGATGTAGAGGTTGGCAGGATGGCAGGATGTGGAGGTTGGCCCGATATGGAGGTTGGCAGGATGTGGAGGTTGGAAGGATGTGGACATTGGCAGGACGTAGAGGTTGGCAGAATGTGGAGGCAGAATGTGGAAGTTGGCAGAATGTGGAGGTTGGCAGAATGTGGAGGTTGGCAGAATGTGGAGGTTGGCAGATTGTGGAGGTTGGCAGGATGTGGAGGTTGGCAGGATGTGGAGGTTGGCAGGATGTGAAGGTTGGCAGGATGTGGAGGTTGGCAGGATGTGGAGGCAGAATATGGAGGTTGGCAGAATGTGGAGATTGGCAGGATGTTTAGGCAGAATGTGAAAGTTGGCAGAATGTGGAGGAAGGATGTGGAGGTTGGCAGGATGTGGAGGTTGGCAGAATGTGGAGGTTGGCAGGATGTTGAGGTTGGCAGGATGTTGAGGCAGGATGTGGAGGTTGGCAGAATGTCGAGGCAGGATGTGGAGGTTGGCAGGATGTGGAAGCAGAATGTGGAGGTTGGCAGAATGTGGAGGCAGGATGTGGAGGTTGGCAGAATGTGGAGGTTTGCAGAATGTCGAGGCAGGATGTGGAGGCAGGCAGAATGTGGATGCAGAATGTGGAAGTTGGATGTAGAGGTTGGCAGAATGTGGAGATTGGCAGGATGTGTAGGCAGAATGTGAAAGTTGGCAGAATGTGGAGCAGGATGTGGAGGTTGGCAGGATGTGGAGGTTGGCAGAATGTGGAGGTTGGCAGGATGTGGAGGTTGGCAGAATGTGGAGGTTGGCAGGATGTGGGAGGTTGGCAGAATGTCGAGGCAGGATGTGGAGGTTGGCAGAATGTCGAGGCAGGATGTGGAGGTTGGCAGAATGTCGAGGCAGGATGTGGAGGTTGGCAGGATGTGGAAGCAGAATGTGGAGGTTGGCAGAATGTGGAGGCAGGATGTGGAGGTTGGCAGAATGTGGAGGTTTGCAGAATGTCGAGGCAGGATGTGGAGGCAGGCAGAATGTGGATGCAGAATGTGGATGCAGAATGTGGAAGTTGGATGTAGAGGGTGGCAGGATGTGGAGGTTGGCAGAATGTGGAGGCAGGATGTGGAGGTTCGCAGAATGTGGAGGCAAGATGTGGAGGTTGGCAGAATGTCAAGGCAGGATGTGAAGGTTGGCAGAATGTGAAGTTGAGCAGGATGTGAAGGTTGGCAGAATGTCGAGGTTGGCAGAATGTGAAGTTGAGCAGGATGGGGAGGTTGGCAGGATGTGAAGGTTGGAAGGATGTGGACATTGGCAGGCTGTGGAGGTTGGCAGGATGTTGGGTAGACATGGCTGTTTGTGGTTACCCGTTTTCATGAGCCGTGTGAGGAAGCGGAATCCAAGGGCATCCAACATCTCTCTTTTCATGTCCTCATCACAGTCCTCGGCCTTCACTGCCCTGGTCACCTGGAAATACAAACACCTGTGTAACATATCACAACATCTATGTTCATGACATGACAAGACTTGTCTTGATGACGTGTCACACTTCCATTGTCAGTTTGAACCAAACAGTATCAAAATATTTAGTTCACATTAATCAAATGATCAGCACCAGATTGTTTACCTTTGTGCACATGCACGGTAACAAAAATACTTGAAACTTTCATAAAATATGAGTATAAACTGTTAAAAGAAACATCTGACCTGTACCTTAATTCAGGACTCGAACTAAGGATTGAAATAATGTTCAAAGTTTATTCCTAGAATCAATTTCAGGGCAATCAGGAACTCGTTTCCAGCAGTGAGGGCCAACAGATTAATATGGGATGTTGAGCTCTATATATACTTTTGTTTGAAGGTGTCCTGGGATGGCTTACCAGAGTGGGCTGGGGACCTTGGTGTACGAGATTGAGGAGTCTGGGGATGGTTTACTACCAGTGGGAGGTGTCCTGGGATGGTTTATAACAGTGGACTGGACACCTTGATGTACCAGTGGGAGGTGTCCTGGGATGGCTTACCAGAGTGGGCTGGAGACCTTGATGTACCAGTGGGAGGTGTCCTGGGATGGCTTACCAGAGTGGGCTGGAGACCTTGATGTACCAGTGGGAGGTGTCCTGGGATGGTTTACTACAGAGGACTGGAGACCTTGATGTACCAGTGGGAGGTGTCCTGGGATGGTTTACTACAGTGGACTGGAGACCTTGATGTACAAGATAAAGGAGTCCTGGGATGGTTTACTAAAGAGGACTGGAGACCTTCATGTACCAGTGGGAGGTGTCCTGGGATGGTTTACTACAGTGGACTGGAGACCTTGATGTACAAGATAAAGGAGTCCTGGGATGGTTTACTAAAGAGGACTGGAGACCTTCATGTACCAGAGGGAGGTGTCCTGGGATGGTTAACTACAGAGGACTGGAGACCTTGATGTACCAGAGGGAGGTGTCCTGGGGTGGTTTATAACAGTGGACTGGAGACCTTGATGTACCAGTGGGAGGTGTCCTGGGATGGTTTACTACAGAGGACTGGAGACCTTCATGTACCAGACGGAGGAGTCCTGGGGTGGTTTACTACAGTGGACTGGAGACCTTGATGTACCAGTGGGAGGTGTCCTGGGATGGTTAACTACAGTGGACTGGAGACCTTCATGTACCAGACGGAGGTGTCCTGGGGTTGTTTACTACAGTGGACTGGAGACCTTGATGTACCAGTGGGAGGTGTCCTGGGATGGTTAACTACAGTGGACTGGAGACCTTCATGTACCAGAGGGAGATGTCCTGGGATGTGTTTGTGATTCGTGGGGAATGTGTTTGTGATGGGGAATGTTTGTGATACGTGGGGAATGTGTTTGTGATACGTGGGGAATGTGTTTGTGATACGTGGGGAATGTGTTTGTGATAGGGAATGTGGGAATGGGAATGTGTTTGTGAATGATGGGAATGTGTTTGTGTCACATTGGGGGAATGTGTTTGTGATATGTGGGGAATGTGTTTATGCCATGATGGGGAATGTGTTTGTGATACGTGGGGAATGTGTTTGTGATCGTGGGGAATGTGTTTGTTAGGGAATGTGTTTGTCTGTGGGGAATGTGTTTTATATCGTGGGGAATGTGTTTGTATATGCCATGATGGGAATGTGTTTGTGATATGTGAATGGGGAATGTGTTTGTGCCATGATGATGGGAATGTGTTTGTGTCACATTAGGGGAATGTGTTTGTGATCATTAGAATGTTGGGGAATGTGTTATGTGTGATGTCATGGAAAGGGGAATGTGTTTGTGATGGGGAATGTGTTTGTGATCACGTTGGGAATGTGTTTGTATATATGGGGGAATGTGTTTGTGATATGGGGAGCGATGTTTGTGCCATGATCACGGAATGTGTTTGTTATGGGGAATGTGTTTGTGATATAATGGGACATGTGTTTGTGATGGGGAATGTGTTTGTGATCACGTAGGGATGTGTTTGTCATATGTGGGGAATGTGTTTGTGATGGGAATGTGTTTGTGATCGGGGAATGTGTTTGTGATGGGGAATGTGTTTGTAATATGTGGGGAATGTGTTTGTGATGATGGGGAATGTGTTTGTGATCGTGGGGAATGTGTTTGTGTAATCGTGGGGAATGTGTTTGTAATCGTAAGGGGAATGTGTTTTGATCATTAGAGGGAATGTGTTTGTGATCGTGGGGAATGTGTTTTGTGATGGAATATGTTTGTGATCGATGGGGAATGTGTTTTTGTGATCATTGGGGAATGTGTTTGTGTCGATGGGGAATGTGTTTTGTATCGTGGGGAATGTGTTTGTGATCGTGGGGAATGTGCTTGTGATACGTGGGGAATGTGTTTGTGATGGGGAATGTGTTTGTGATACGTGAGTAATGTGTTTGTGATACTTGGGGAATGTGTTTGTAATATGTGCGGAATGTGTTTGTGATACGTGGGGAATGTGTTTGTGATACGTGGGGAATGTGTTTGTAATACGTGGGGAATGTGTTTGTGATACATGGGAATATGATTATAATCATTGGGGAATGTGTTTGTGATCAATGGGGAATGTGTTTGTAATACCTGGGAATGTATTTATAGGATCGATGGGGAATGTGTTTGTGATACATGGGGAATGTGTTTGTGATACGTGGGGAATGTGTTTGTGATACGTGAGGAATGTGTTTGTGATGGGGAATGTGTTTGTGATACGTGGGGAATGTGTTTGTAATATGTGCGGAATGTGTTTGTGATACCTGGGGAATGTGTTTGTGATACGTGGGGAATGTGTTTGTAATACGTGGGGAATGTGTTTGTGATACATGGGGAATGTGTTTGTGATACGTGGGGAATGTGTTTGTGATACGTGGGGAATGTGTTTGTGATACATGGGGAATGTGTTTGTAATACGTGGGGAATGTGTTTGTGATACGTGGGGAATGTGTTTGTGATACGTGGGGAATGTGTTTGTGATACGTGGGGAATGTGTTTGTCATACGTGGGGAATGTGTTTGTGATACATGGGGAATGTGTTTGTGATGTGATATGGGAATGTGTTTGTGATCATGGGGGAATGTGTTTGTGATCATGTGGGGAATGTGTTTGTAATACATGGGGAATGTGTTTGTGATACGTGGGGAATGTGTTTGTGATACGTGGGGAATGTGTTTGTGATACCTGGGGAATGTGTTTGTGATACGTGGGGAATGTGTTTGTAATCATTGGGGAATGTGTTTGTGATGGGGAATGTGTTTATACGATGGGGAATGTGTTTGTGATACGTGGGGAATGTGTTTGTGATACGTGGGGAATGTGTTTGTGATACATGGGGAATGTGTTTGTGATACGTGGGGAATGTGTTTGTGATATGTGGGGAATGTGTTTGTGATACGTGGGGAATGTGTTTGTATCGTGGGGAATGTGTTTGTGATCACGTGGGGAATGTGTTTGTGATCTGAGGGGAATGTGTTTGTGGGGAATGTGTTTGTGATCGTGGGGAATGTGTTTGTGATCTGTGGGGAATGTGTTTGTGATCATTAAGGGAATGTGTTTGTGATCGTGGGGAATGTGTTTGTGATCACATGGGGAATGTGTTTGTGATACGTGGGGAATGTGTTTGTGATACATGGGGAATTTGTTTGTGATGGGGAATGTGTTTGTGATACGTGGGGAATGTGTTTGTGATGGGGAATGTGTTTGTGATACGTGGGGAATGTGTTTGTTCAGGCATCTGATCCCAAGACTAGGACCCGGGAGTTCAGTGCCATGGAGCGGAGTGCAGTCCGGTTGTAATCTTTGACGACTGGTGTCTTCAGACAGTGTCGTTTTGTTGGTTAACACGTCTGTTCTCTCTTTGGTGTTCGCTCTGAGTTTGTTATCGAGTAGAATAACCTCTCTTTAGGTGGTACTTGTCGAAATTGTTGCTGTCGAACTCATATTGTGAATGAGAACTGAATATCTTATTCGAGCATAGGAATTGACTGTAAGATCCTTTGGCCTTGTTGTGACATGGATGGCACGATGTGTATAATAGATAAACATCTATTTGCATGTATTTTTGTTAAAGATTACGATGTGTCTAAGAATGGGTTTCTTGAAAATTCTGCAGCAAATTTAATATTGGGGTGGATTGATCGGGGCAAGCAAGATGTGGGAAGCTAGAAACACAGCCTGAAAGTAAACTGTACTGTGAGAGGACTTCACTTTTTTCTGATCACAATAAATAATGAACATTAAGGATTGAACAGCTTCAAGTGAGTTTAGTTTTATGCTAGACTCAGCAATATTCCAGCCATATGGCAGTGGTCTGTAAATAATCGAACCTGGACCAAGCAATCCAGTGATTTTCCCCAAACAGTGCTGGACTTGTTTTATCTACCACTACTAGTATTTGTCGGCTCAGGTAATAGACATGTATAAGGCACAGGTACTATACAGATATGTACCCCAGGTACGTTGCTGTATACAGAACTGTACCCAAAACAAAGTCAAAATACAGAAACGTACCTGGAACCCTAAATGGCAGATGAGTCGATATTCCGCAACCAAAACCGAAACCTTATGTTGTTGTTCCTGATCAACTGACTGCGGCCTTCCTTTAGAATTCGGCACCACAAACTTTACAAATTATATCACAATACCTTATGACATAAGTTGTGTGGATGCAAGACACAAAAATTCTTTACTCGCACCAATAATTTATTCTGGTATACGTTCAATTTCACTTTGACTTCTTTCTTTGGCTTGGTGAGGTTCAGAAAACTACAATGCAGAAATACAGACTTGCTAAGTAAATTATTCCTAACACTCAATTATTCCTAACACTCAATTATTCCTAACACTCAAACTACATGACAAGTCTAAGTAAATTACTTCAAATTAACAGTTACAAGATAAATGAATAAAATGTACAATTAACAAAACCTTCAAATAATATTACCTTATTATGCCTTGAAATATATTACAATAGCAAACAATGCTACTCACATTTGTGTTCATGCCAACTACAACAGCTGAATGTCTCCAACATGGAGGCAGTGACAAGCCATGTGCTCTGATGAGGAGCAACACTCACAATCAGGGGAAGTAATCTGTTATGACAATCATGATAATACTTTTTGGAAAACTAATAACAGTTATAGCCAAGCTAGACTTTCTGAACCTCATCTGAACTAAATTTTACAATGAAAATTACTACACTATTTTAGAACTTTGTACTTTGCAACATAAAAATATAACCTTTTGACAACAAATATCTTTAGTGCATGAAATTATAAACTAATTGGAGTGAACATTTTTTCTGCATCAACAAGTTGTGAAACATTGTTACCAAAAACAATGACCTTTGAGGTCAGACTGCTGCTGGGTTATTGAGTGTGTCTAAGCTCCGCTCAGAATTCTGTCGTCTCTATAAGCATAGCCATTGAGTAAGTCAAGCATTGTAGGGAGTTTGTGTGCTAAACATAGATGGCGGTGGCACATTTTTTAGCAAGCACCAGTTTATGAAAGCACTTTTATTTTAAATATAGTTTATATTTCGCTTTCAACGTAATATTTAGGACTAAATGAATTATAAATGGGAAGTAATATTCATATATAATTTGTATCATTACACAGGAATGGAGTTTATTTATTATATTTGCTTTTTCGAAACAGTAAGAATGCATTACAATGGACACATAAGCCATTTTCGTGTCACTTCGGTCAATGTATTGTATTTATTAGGATTATTTCGAGGGGTTAGGGTTTAGGGTAAGGGTCCAACTCCCATAAAGTAGCTAGATGTCCGGTGTAATGCATGTGTATCACTTGTTGTTTTTCCTGTCACTTTTTTCACACAAAAATGTCGAAAATACACGATGGAATGGTTTAATGTAGAAAATTTGGGCTAATGGAAATTTTTCCTGAACTCGCACTAAGCCACTTTCACATCCTACATTTCTTCAGTAATGATTCGAAGGCTAACCCACCCTCGTGCCGTCACCAGATATGCTCATGTCTCCCTCATTCCTTAGTGCGATCCACATTATCCTTACAATGTCCCTTCAACACTTTTCTGTTACAAAATCACCTGATATGTTTTGAAGCATGTCATTCATGCAATTCGAAGTCTGATGACTGACATCAACAACCATTTTCGGTTCGTGCCATATATCAGCTCATTCCACAGGGTATCTTGTAGAATACGGAACGGGACGAGCGTGACAACCCAGAAATGGCCTTGGACCCATTCGGCAATTGTCCATAGATTAAAATCACGAGACACCAAGTCTACCCGTAACCTTCATAATTGTCTGTGACCTATTCAACACCGTTCATTTCCGTGATGTCTCAGGATTGACAAGAAAAATGGGAACTTTATGCCACAGTGTGGACGTAGCTCAGTCGGGCTAACGTTAGCGAAGGTCGCGGGTTCACGTCCAGCGGATTCTCACAAAACTGGTTGCTTGTATTAGTGACACGTGACCTACGACTGAGACTGTCCTCACGAGAAGTTGTGGTGCTGAATTCGAAGTATACACGAATATTTCACAATTCCACTCGCAATCATGGAGGAGTGGAATTGTGAAATATTCGTGTATACTTCGATTTTTAAATAACACCTTATATGCCTCTGATACAACACTATGACAGTTCCGATCAAGAACACTACACAGTGCGGAATGGAATAGTTCTAGTACGATTCTCTATTCTGATTCTGACTAGTGTACGTGTCTGTAGTACCCGTGCCGACAACGACCCCTTCAGCGCAGCCCAGGTACGTTTCTGTAGTACCCGTGCCGACAACGACCCCTTCAGCGTAGCCCAGGTACGTTTCTGTATACAGAAACAGAATGTTTTCATTATGCAACTTTTTCTTGATTGTTTAGGTGACATTTCTGTATACGGAAACATATAATATATAAATATGCACACAGCCGACAAGAGGAAAGTTGTTTCTACTTTCCCGATGTTTTCACGTGCCCGAGCGTGGTCGTCATAACAGTTCTGTGTCGTAGTAGAGTAATAAGATTCATTACCATCATTAACGCAGCAAACCGTTCATTGTCTGACTGAGCGGATCTCAGTGCTTGCAGACATCTTCTGAAATTAGGGTCCGACATTGTGTTTTACAATTTCAACAAGCGACACACACGATACTGCACATGTTGTTTGTTGACGATGGAAAAACGTTATTTCCGGTTTCGAAAGTGCCGAGAAGTTATCGCCCTTGAACTGGTACAAGAACTGGGCCGGTGTATCGGTAAACCCTTGACCCCATACAAACTTAACCGATGATCTTTCCCTTATATTGGACTTTGCATTTTATTTGTATTTGTGTAGGTAGACTCAGGACCTATCTCTCTAGAAGAAGTAAGAGATGGTATTGTGGCGGAGCTACAGAATTGTCACCCAGTTTGTTCTGGGGGTGGGGGAAAAGAGGGGGGTCAGCAATTTTGAACAATAAAATATTTTTAAAATATGCTTAAAAGCGGAGGTAATTGATTTTGTACACGACAGGAGGGGAGAGGGGCTCAGCAATTTTGAACAACAAAATATGCTTAAAAAGCGGAGGTAATTGATTTTGTACACGATATGAGGGGGGTCACTTACTTTGTACGTAATTTTTTTCATTTATTCTTGGGGGGGGGGATATTCACATTGTACATGCCTCTGCATAAAAATCATCATCCACCCCTAACCCCCCTTGCCATAAATTATGAACGGTCCCTTACCCCAACACACTGAATTTTTTGGGGGGTAGTCTCCCTTGAGACCCTGTGATCAGCTTCCACTATCAAGTCCGTTTGAGTCAGAAACCGACCGATGAATTGCAAATTTTATCATTGTACAAAATTGCCACATAACTATAAATAGTACACGTGTTTGCAACAGCTTTCTTATATTTGAAAAGGGACAGCCAGGTGTGTGAGAAAGGATGGAGACGGCACAGCATAGGCTAATGAATCAATAACTTGGTGGGCACTTGTGCGCGTGCTTCTCTAACACCTGGCTGTCCCTTTCTCTGCACTCCTCCCTCGTAACAAATAGTGAACTGTGTCAAAATTGTAATGTTCTTAAAGAACATTTTTGGTGGAGTCCGGAAAATTTTCAAATATAAGAAAGCTGTTGGGTATTAGTAAATGATAAACATGTGTACTATTTATATTTATGTGGCAATTTTGTACAATGATAAAATTTGCAATTCATCGGTCCGTTTCTGACTGAAACGGACTGTAGATGTCGTCATCGCAGGCCATGTCCTCAAAGAAGGCATATGTCATATCTTAGGACTTAGAGCGGAATTACCACAAATCATTTAACTTTAGTACATATGAATCAAACTAGGCCTTTTATATTTTAATGAGATGCCTGTTTGAATACTTTTCACTAATATATATATCATTACCGCAACAAAAATTGTCGTTGCGGTGATGACATGTGTGACTACCCCACATGTGATAACAGTGGTAATCCCATACAGAATGCAACAAATGATACATTGTTTTGTCATCAATGATATAAAGTATCTTGTAACGTAGTGCTAGGAATTTGAGAACATGACTACACGACAAGGATTTATACAATGCATCACAATGCCATAACCGCAACATTATTACCGCAATGATCCAAACATCAAAATCTGTACATTTTGTCTCACAGTTGTATTAAAGTTGATGAAATAAGATAAAATAGTTGTCACGGTTTTGTGAATCCACAGTTAGTGCTTACAGATTACTTGGTTAGTTAAGATTTCATTATTTTTCAATTAACAAGAAAATAACATTTTCCACTCTCAAAAAATGTTACGAAACACTTAAACATGATAAATCTGTCATGTTGAACTGGTAAAAACAAGTAGGAAAGTGTCGTTTAATATATTTGATTGATCCTTAAAGCAAAGTTATTTCAAGTTATCTACTTTGAGAACCAAACAATTTGCTATGGGTCTGCCGCGTGTTCTCAACAACATAACATAGAACATTTTGTAGCTAACTGTGGTCACAGAGATTAAATTATTGATCCTCAATGTTTTGTGTTCATAAATCAATTGTTTGGAAAAACCTTATTCTTAAATTTGTTTAGGTCCATGCTATTACCTAAACGACACGTGACTACCGTAATTTCAATGTCATTACCGAAACGAGACGAAACAACGTTTACACAACCAATTATTTCTTTGAAGCCGTTTAACTTATGGGAGGGTAAAAGGAATTCAATGTTTTATCCTTTTCTGATAACCGTTTGAGGTAAGAGCTATTGTTGCCGCAGTTATTATGTTTACATTCATGCTAAAAACTAAAAAAATCATAAATGCATCGAAACAATTTAGAAGAATGACCATTCATTGCACAAATATACTTATAAATAACCACATATGTGACGCCTAACAACTCCTTCCATTTCTAAACTGTTTTTAAGCAAAATGTATGACTAGATTTTCCAAAATCAGTATTTTTGCCGTCGTTGGGGTAATGGTATTTTGATTTAAAGTTGAAAATTATTGTCCAAACGTCTCTGCTGATGCAATATACCAATCATACAAACCAAAGTAGTTCACATGAAGACATAAAAAATATAAAAAAATACAAACAGAAATTGTCCTTTTCCATATTGAGCTCACATATTACAGCTTCAAAAAGTGAAGTGAACGCAATCAGCTCTGAATGTGGTCAACTTGAGGTAACAGTTACACTAATCAATAATTGATTCTGTCTCTGACCAAACTGAAGCTGTCGTAGGACGCCTGTAGAAAGATTGAGGACGATATGGACAAAACTGGAATCCTTTAGCTGTCGTGACAATGTCATACTCCATGGTGTACCCGAAGTAGGAGGTGAGAAATCGATGACTTGCAAGGAAACAGTGATGTCAATTTTTGATGAACACCTGCCGTCTAAAACGTGACAGTCGTCTGACGTTATCCGTGCCAGTCGCCTTGGAACACAGCGTCGTAACGTGGTGAAGCTACGCCATATACCTGTAAAGCTCCTGATATTAGGCGACAAGGTCCGGGCACTGAAAGCTAGACCCGTGCTTAAGGAAAAAGGGCTTGAAACCTCAAGCGACTTGACCACACGACAACGTCAACAACTGAATGCCCTTAAAGAGACAGGCCATTTTGGATACTTCAAGAACGGTAAGCTTATGACAAAACCTCATGAAATATCGGATAGAACATCTCGTCATCAACAGGAAACACCTCCACGAAAGCGAGGCAGGACCATCCGTATGGTGGCTGATTAGGGCCATCGCTTTCTCGCTTTCTCGCGGCCGAATTTTAAGGCGAGAAAGCAATGGCCCCAATCAGCCTCCATACACTCGAGACGAAACGGAAATGCCGTCGAATGGGCAACTTCAATAAGGCGATGGCCAAGGCCCGGATAACATACCACATGAATGTAATATATCAGACACCGCTTACACGTTCCACTTTATGAGCACTAATGCAAAAGAAGACCAGAAACTGGCTGTCTTGTTTTGGAACGTGAATGGATTGAGTAAAACAATGGACAACAGTGACTTCATCTCTTACCTAAGCAAATTCCAAATAGTGTAGCTTGTAGAAACATTTGTATATGACACGTCAGCATGAATTGGTTAGTTGGTTATGATGTATTGTACAGTCCCGCTATTAAACTGTCTGAGTATGGTCGACTTTCAGCTGGCGCCTGCAGATGTATCCATCATTCAATTAGTAAGTTTTGCAGATTTATGACATCAGGAATTGGTACTTTCCTAAATATTAAAGTATCAAAACGGCTGTTGTCTGTTGACCGAAATGTAAATCTGAAAGGTACGTATATTCCACCGTCTGGTTGACCATACTATAACTACAGTAACACAACATGCAACATTGAACTGCTTGATCGGTGCTTACTAGAAAACCTTTCTGTAATCAGTGACTGCTCCACGGTTATCCGTGGCGATATGGATGCACGAACAGGTGAACAAAACAACCACCTTGCTAACTGGGATGAAGCTCTTGGTAAACACAATATTCCGTTTAGTGAGGATGTAGATATACCTATTGATGATCGTAAATCCCAAGACGGTATGGTAAAAAGATTTGGGCGGATAATGTTAGACATGTGTTATTCATTCCAGTTGTTTATTGTTAACGGCAGAGTATATGGTGACACAGAGGGGGAATATACCTACTGTGGCCACCAGGGTTGTAGTGTGAATGATTACTTTATCTGCTCTCCGGATCTTTTCCAGTACATTAACATGTTAAACACTGGAGACCGTTTAGAGTCCGATCATCTACCACTAGAACTGACAAATTCCCAAACATGAACAACCAAAATGATGAGCCGACATCTGGTCGTTTTAAAGAACAAATCGTTTGGGATAAATCCCTTTGTGAATGTTTTTGACAAGCCTGAAGGAAAAGTTGGTATCTTATAATCAGCAGTTACTGAGTAAACGGGAGTTTAACATTGATGGGGCTGTAGAGGATTTCCTCCAGGTTAACCATAGATTCTGCCGATTGCATGAAGAAAAAGAACTACATTTCACTACGTGAAAATGAAGTGCACACACACACACACACACACACACACAAACACACTTTCTCAAGAGTGTGCAAAACCACACACCCACACCCCCACACCCCACTTTCTCAAAATCTTTACCCGCCACTGGGAAATATCAGCCTGACAGGTGTAAACTTAGGCTGTAACATCTCAACGATAATGTTCATTCTCCCGCTTGGTTTGGGAAACAAATACGTTCTTTTAAAAGGCAGCCAAATGCAAAAGATATTATCTCAATGGCTGAGTGGCTTATTCATTTTAAGATTTTTTTTCAAATGATACTGTTTTTAACACTTGCAATGATGTGTTCGACGATATTCCAAATGTTACCTCCTCGTGTTATACCAGGGATACTCTACAACATTATAGAGTCTCCCTGGTTATACTGACGCTGACACACATATTCTAGAAACCTCTATATCCCAAGATGAAATTATAAACGCAATAATGCACCTAAAAAGTGGAAAAGCACCTGGCCTTAACCATATTATGGTTGAAATGATAAAATCTTCCAAATTTAAGATGATGCCTTTTCTACATAAATATTTCAACACGATGTTTGATTTTAGTATATTCCCCAGTTGTTGGTCATGTTCGGTAATCATCCCAATACATAAGAAAGGAGGTTTTAACAACCCAGATAACTACAGGGGAATGTCGAGTATTCGTTGGAAGATTCTCACCTCAGTACCTCATACCACGATAACTAATTGGTCTAATATGCGAGACAAGAACGAAGTACCCGACGGCCGACCATATATTCACAGTATCTGCAATAATCCAAAAATGCTTATCGCCAGGTGGCAGGTGCCATTGAATCAAAGATGGTCTTGAGATGGTAAATGTGTTGGTGTTGTGGGTAGTTATACTTATCT